TTGCCATTGGATAACATTGCCAAAGCTGTTTCGGGAGTGAACCTCTTCGGGAGAGGATTACTCCGGAACTACAAGACATACAGACAAATGAATGACATTGTTTTGTCACTCAATAAATACGGGTTTATATCTAATTACCATTAAAAATCGGCTAAATTTGACTGATAAATTTAATTCTTAATCATTCTCAATTTTCATTTCAATTAGTTATATTTTTAATTTTCATGTTAAAATTAAATTTTTAAGTAGATAAACCTAATATATTTTTTTATAAACAAAACCATTTCAGTTTTACGTGACGTTTATAATTTGTCAACTATTGGGACTAAAATATCATAATTGTTCAAAATTATAGATGCAATATAAATACTATGCCATATGAATGGTCTCATAATTTTAAATTTCACAACACATCCAGAAATGGTGTTATTTTAAAATCAAATATACAACGAATTAACTTAATTGAAAAAAGACTTTTTTAATAATTGTATAAAATTATTTAATTTACTGCCACTTAATATTCGCAATCAAAATATTTATAAAGATTTTGTAAAACATTTGAATAACTTTTATATGAATACTACACGATATGTATCTCATTGCCAATTGCTAAATAAAAATTATTATTATTATTATATTAAAATAGTCAATAAATGTTGATTGGCACAAATTATGATTATCTCTAAGTTAATTAAAATAAATTAATGTTTATTTATATTTAAAGTATAGATATTAAAATTTTTTATGAAAATCTTAGAACTGTTTAACAATTAATTTATAACTATTATAACTATTAAAAACAACAACTTATAATCTAGGTATCAAATTGTAGTTGATATCAAATAATCTATATACTATAAACATGAGCATTATATAATTAAAATACAGCACACTTACTGACTTTCTAATGCCAATTATACTTTAAAAAATTCCCAGATAGTATTTAAATAATTTAATTAGGCACTAGTTTAAATTACAAAATTAGATAAAATTAAAGTAATGTTGACTTTGAAATGTCAATTAAATTACAAAATGTGTGCGAAATTTACATAGTGTTTTTTTGTAACTATACATACATATTAAATTTAATTATAAATTGTTATCCTGAAGTGTATTATACGTAAAAATAAGTTAAATTCCTATTGTATTCATTGAATATATAAATATATTCTGTGTTTTTGTCGCTGAAAATAACATTTATTGTATTCACTGATACTATAACTAAATAATTTAAATTAAATTAAATTCTTTCTAGATTTTAATTTAAAAAAAATATTTGCTTTTATTAAAGATATTTGAAATTCAAATAATTTTAAGTCTATTTATTATTTGAATAATCTTTTATTTATATAATACTTTCAAATTTAATTAAATTTCAATTAATAATGGCCTAATTACTTTGAATATTTACCCATGATAGTTGTTTTCTACTCGACTAATTTTTAAAATTAAGATCACTAATGTAGAAAAATATTTAACTATAATAAATAATTTAATTTAATTAAATAGCATTTCTTGGAAATTTATTCATGTAAAAACAAATAAAATATTTTGAAATTATAATTTCTTACCGAATATTCTGTTATATTTTATAATATTATTGTTTTAAATAATATTTGAAGAGTAATATAACATATAACTAATGATTCATTAGTTATCATAAGTTTCAATAATTATTTTATACATAACAAAAACAATCACTAAAATAAAGTTAGTTAAACCATCAATGAATTACATAGGTTCCATCTAAATAAATGTTATATGTTCATTTATAGCATTGTGCAACATATCATGATAAATTACAGTTACTAAAAAACAGCATGGATATTTTTATTTCTTTTAAAAAGTGCAGTGATTGAAAAAAAATACTTAGATTTTGGACGATATCTCTCCAACAATACATCAAATAAGTGACTAAAAAAGTAAAATGAAATAAATTTTTTATATTTTTATTTCAAAAATCTATATCAAAAACTTTAACGATATTTTATATTTATGTTGATATCAACTATCGAGTGTACATTATATATAGTGCCAGATATGAGTACTTTCTATAATAGACATAAAATAGACGATAATATGAATACATGTAAAATATTATGAAATTTTTTGATGAATAAAACTGTGTTTAAAAATAGGATTTATGTTTAAAATTTGTAAAAATTTCGGCGAAATTGTTATTTTTCTTTTGAAAAACACTTTTCTTTTCATACGTTTGAAGTGTTTATAAAAGACTAAATGATGTGAAAAATATAACACAAAACGTATTGAATATAAATATGCTTTTAAGACATAGACGTAGTGTTAATGTATTGCATAGTCTGTGTGTCTATACAATAGTCTATGGGATTAGTTGTGACAATCATTTTTCACAACAATTTATATACCATTTAAGCGTTTAATTGATAACAACTCATAGAAAAATCACAACACGTTTAGCGAATTGAGTGGAAAATAAGTTGGGATTATATTCAGGAGTTTTGTATTTTTGTTATTAGTTTATGTAAATTTTACTTTTAATGTTATGTTATTTATATTTTTAAATACTCATTAATACAACTTAATGAACTAAAGATTATAACTATGTACGTAATTTAATTTTAAATTAAAATTCATTAATTATTTATTGTCTGTAATAAAATCATTATTATAAACAATTATAAACTTTATAATAAGTTTTAAAATTTAATTAATTAAATTGCATTAATGAGTATTTAAAATTATAAATTATTTTTTATAATAATGATTTTGATATAAATTAAGCTCTAGATAATATGATAAAAATGTAACTATTGTTTATAATGTAACATTATAATAAGTTAGTAAAATACAATATTATTAAACATATTAAAATTATTTTATGTACTAATCTGGTCTTAAAACAGCATGGTTATATTTTTATTATTAGAAAATATGGTTGTTATAAATGCTGCACTTTTTGCTGTCGGTCGCACTGAACACAAACAGCTGCCAAATAAATCATAAAAATAAAAATCATTATTATCTGTTGGTTATAAATTAAATTTTACATTTTTCAATGTTTGCGACAATTGTCCTCGATACAAATACAAAATTATATGCAAACTTAAATTGTTTAATATTATCATAAATATTATTTTAAAATTATCTAGTTTATATAAAGTTTAATAATTTTATAAATATATGCTTAAACTATGTAATATGTAAATAACAATTGCACATGTTCATTATCACGAGTATATACTGTGGCAAAGTATGTACACATTAACCACACACATCAAAAAATGCATAATGATAAATTAATAATGATTTTTTCTATGATATGATATACTATTTGCGATATTTATTATTAAATCGCAAGAATATATTCATTTAGTGTTTTCACAGCATTTGATAATAAAATCGTTGCAATAATTATAAGCAAAATGTTTGCAAAAATTACAATTTATTTGTCTGCGATTTTAATCATCGCATTTGTGTCCCAATCGGTGGCCAAAGAGGAGATTAAAACTGAAGACTTGGTCCAAACCTGCGATAAAGACGATAAGTTATGTCAGGCCTCAGCCGGTGATAAGGGTATGGCATATATTTTCTACACGTATTCATTTACTGAATAAAGCATGGTTGTTTACCAAGTTGTATAATTATAGCATGTACATTATACTAATTTAATTTTTATAATTACTAAACAAACTTTTATGTTTATTTTTATTTATGAACAATTAATCTACTAAAGTTATAAGAATAAAACAAATAAGTAAATATTAAATATTTTTAATTAGCAAAACATTATATTATAACAATTAATTCAATGAAAAAATATTTACTGTGTATATTTAAATATATTTATAGAATTCTAGGTTTAAAATCATCAAAAGTTATATTCATGAAAATATTAACTGTATTTTTGTTGCATTTATAGCTAAGGAGAGCCACAAATACAGTGACGACACGTCAGCCAAAGCTGGCGGCAGTACTGACGGGGGATCGACAGGAAAGCCAACAAAGGGGGACAAAAAAATCAAAAAATCGACCAAGGTTAAATCAACTGGAGACGATAATGTGGCCGACTGTCCCCTGTGCTCATTCACCCGACCCCTGGTCCGCAAAATTATGGACTGGATCTCTGAGTTGATCAGTGATCCGATGATCCAGATGGTTTTTGAAATGGTCAGACACCAAATCTGGGAGGTGGGCAATATGACCAAGGAGAAATTTGGTTTTAGATTGTTCTAGGTCCATTAATTTATTTAATTTTTCTGAATTTTACTAATAAAATGTAATTAATTAATGCTCGATGTTATTTGTGTTTGAAATTACCTTGGCTGTTTACTTTTACACCTTACTGGGACTACCAATGCTTGTTATTAGTAAAACAATAGGGTCTATTGTCTGATTATATAACACGTATTGATAGTATTTTTACATTAATAAAACATCTGTAAAAATGGTGTTTCAAAAATATTTTGGGTAAAATGTAATGTATTTTAAATATTTTTTAATAGAAAATAATTTTCACACTTTTCTCACAAAATATTACATTTTAAATATAGATTTATTGTTTTGTAACATTAATTATGTATATGTTTAGCAAAAGTTGGTTATTATTTAATGTAATATTCATTGTATTACTGGTTATGTTTGACACGATATCTACGGATGACTCCAGCGATGATGTCTTTGACGAGAAGAATAGGCTTAAAGGTATTTGGTTTAGTCTCTCTCTCTCTCTTCGGGGTCAACACTATCATCAATATCCGACGCATAGTCGAGCGCCCATTTTAGTTTTGGTGGCTCCTTGTCCACATACACCTCATTAAAATGGAATAGTTTTTATATAATTAAATAAATTATAAATAAATACTAAATTCACAAAACTGTAAATAATTATTTTAATTAGTAAACAAGTATAAGTAACATTATTTTAATTAATACATTGGAAATAATTTTAATACAATTTTTATATTACTAGTAACTTGTTATTTGGATAATATATCAATTTATTAAATTATTAAAACTAAACATGGTGAATTATAAATAACTTATTTACAAAACAGGGGGCGGCATAAAGGACGCCATGAAAAAGCTCAATGAGGCACCACTGCCGGGAAAGACCACGTTTAAGCCCAAGTTGGGTCCGGACTGGGGCGAAGACCTAGATGATGAGGTGTATGTGGACAAGGTGCCACCAAAACTAAAATGGGCGCTCGACTATGCGTCGGATGTTGACGATAGTGTTGACCCGGAGTTGGCCCCCGAGGCCACTGATGGCGATGATTGTCCCTTCTGTGGCACTACTAAGCCCTTTGTGGAGGGAATGCTCGGCTTTTTGCGCGATTTGGCCAACGATTACCCCTTTTTTCGCCAGATTCTGGAGGCGGGGCTCAGTTTTCTCAAATTTTTTATGGTGTTTATAAACTCGTGGTAGAGTTTGCGATGGGCTTTGTTTGCCTGTTTTTGATATATTTGTTTGTGATTGTTACTTTTATTATCTCAATTAAGTGTGATGTTTAAATAAATACGTTTCTTATCATGTTGTTTTGCAGTTTTGCAATGAATTGACTCGATTTACTGATCATCGTTTAAAATTTTTTGTTTATTTTATTATTCTACTAATTGTTTTGTAAATTCTTAATGATGGTAATAAAAATAATTTTACTAACTTACTATAAATGTTGTTATTTACATTTTCTTGTGTTTTAAAATAAAATAAGTTTTAAATTTAATTAAATCACTACTTAGTTTATTAAATCTAGTTAAATAACTTATATATTTCAAAACGTTTGCTACAATAATAAGTTACACGATCAAAATTCATATACAATTCATGTCCAAAAATATAACGATGTTAAACAATATTTTTTATACCACCTGCCCACACAGTATGGGGTGAGTGATCCATCAAAATGACCCTGGGCTTACAATTACATACAATACATAACACAATAGCCATAACAAGGTATACGTGTTATAACTGAACAAAACAGCTGTAGATAAAACACCGATACATATATTTTAACCAACAAAATAGTTTTAATTGTATTTTATATATCTGTCTCAAAGGGATTCATATAATAACAAAATTGATTCATTAGGATAACTATTAAAATTAATTAACATTTAATTAATAGAAATTGGTTGTAAATTATTAGTGAAATTATTATATAGTTAATTATTTTACAAATAATGGCAAAGTTTACTGTCGTTTATTTGCTATTTATTAGCGCATTATTAGCCGTTATATTTGAGTCAATCGGTGCTAAGGAGGGTAAGGATAGGGAGGCTGTTGTGGCCGACGGCACCTGCGATAAAGACGACCCACTGTGTAAATTAGCCGAGACTACCGGCGCCAAAGGTATTGTATTATAACAAAAATGTTCCTGTATAATAAATAATTTGTAAATATAATTAATTATATTAATTAACTGTTTATTATAGCGGGCAAAGTTGATACCGGAGCTGATGTGACCAAGGAGTCTGGCAAGAGTGAGTGTGATCTTGTTATTTAATTAACTTGTTGATTTTGTAATTACATAAATTTCCATACGATCTATAATTTATGTAATAATTAATTATTAGTAATAATTTATAACTAAAATTATGTGTAAATAAAAGCAAAAACAAAGCCCTCGACGAAGAAGAAGGCGAAGAAAGCGAAACAATTCAGACGTGAGTCGGAAGCGGAGGACAGGGATGAGGACTGGGATGCGGACAGCGATGGGGGCCGACACAGGGGTGTCAAACGGGATGAGAAACCGGGTTTTATTAGGACTGTATT